GTCTGTTCTGTTCTCGTGCTCCGTTTTGGCGCGCTGCATTCTGATTGGTTCGGATAGCATACTGCGGCAGGTCGTGGGTGCGGAAAATCATGCTATAAAGCGATTTAGAAATCGCGCACGCTCATTTTATGACGATTTCGATTAATCGCACAGCCCTACTACATACTGAACATTATTTACCTGTGTGGGTTCTGAGATGCGCCTTGAGGTGAGAACTTTTAAAATAGGTTTTCCGACAGCCTGGGAAATTGCAGACATAGTTGCGCCTGCGGGAAAAGTCGACCTGTGTGGCGCTGCTCTGTCCCGAGGGCACGTATACAGGTGCTGGAGCCAGAGGCAGGAGCTTGGTGTTGCCTAGGGTCATAACAGTCTGTTGGCACTGTGGAGCCGAAGAAACTGGTGACTGCGGCATCACGAACATCACTGTCCCCTGAGGCACTGTAGAGCCCATCAGGAGCTGCTGTGGTAAGATAGACTTCACCCCAGGGCTGGGATTCTGAATAAACGTGGCTGAGATGACTCCAGGTTGGGCCACCGGGAACATTTGGCATATGATTGGCGGACTGGAGGTTAGGGGTGGCGAATGAGCAGATGATGTAATGGAGGGCTTATCAGCCTTAGAAGGACGTCTGCTGATGTTTTGGCACGTGCCTCCTGTAGGGGTGTCGGTCTCGGGTTGGTGGGATAAGGTGGGTGATGAAGGAACTTTCTCAGTCTTTTGTGGGTAGACAGCTTGTGGAATGTTCTGATATAAGGAGCTGTCGGCTGTGTGGCGTATTACGCTGGTTGCCATGGCTCTGCAAGGTGAGGGTGTGTTTTTTTCTGTGGGGTACCCAGAATAGGGCATCTGAGCGATGGAGGTCATAGTAGGGCATGCAGATCTCAGACTCGGGAGGCTGGGACAGGGCCGGGCCAACGGGGAAGGCGGGGCTGGCACTGATGTGGTGTTGGAGGTGTCAGTAAAGCTGGGGCTGTGTGGTGGGGTCATGCACTGCAAGGAGAGAAGGCAATCGGAGTTAAGAGGCGCACAATATATTGGTACCATATCCTCAACAGCCGATATTAGAGATTTTTTTTATCAATATTCGATAAATAAAGACCAATATTGTATTTTATTTTATTGTGCATGCAATGAATTACTTTTTTCTTTGCATTTTTATTTTGCTGTTATCTAACACACATAAAGTTAATCTTTAAAAACACTAATAATTTAATACTATTGTTAAATGTAATCTTTTTAGGGATGCACCAATATTAAAATGGCCAATAATGGTAGGCTGATTTTTATTTTTATGTTACAGCCAACAACCGATAAATGGCAGACATTAAAATTGTAAAAGTAATAAATAAAAAATAAAACATGTTCAATTTACACATAAATATAAATATTATAATGTACAGTATGAAAAAATGTATTCATTTTGAGATTTGTATATTTAATTGTGCATGCTAATTTTCTGTTTATATTTAGATTACCTTTGCTGTCATTTAACATGAACTTAAAAGTTAAGCTTTAAAAACAATTTAGCAAATGTCAATTTATATACATTTTTAATACTGTACATTATAATGTTTTGATGTCTAAATTCACATAAATTTGGTTTTAGTATTTTATCTTTAATTTAATTTACTTTTAAATTTTTTAAGTATAAAATATCGGCTATTTATCTGTTATACACCATAATTATCGGCTTATCTGTCTCGGACATTTAAATGTTGATGCATCCCTAAAAAGCAAGCTCTTTGGCAAACAACTAAATCTCATTGTGGAATTTTATATGGATGACTGGCTTCTCTATTCAGTAATATCATAGCTGTACTATTTTGTCTGTTCATGTCTCAGCATCATTACAGCACGGGTGATTCGTGTAATCACAGTGAAGGAGCCTGTGCTGAAGTTCAGTTTGCAGATGTAGCTTATCTCAAGACTTCCATCTGTCCAGGGTGTCATAAAACCCACCCAAAGTTTTCAGCAAACAAATCAGGTTCTGATAAGAGCTTTGTGCTACACCATGCGGCGCCAGAAGACTGTGAGGTTCTCCGGAGTGAATGTTGACAAATTAAACAGAGCTTGAAGTGTATATATTTTATCTTCTAGCAGATCATTCAAATTAAAGATGACTTACCAGTGAAGAGAGCGAGACAAAGTCTTTTGGGGTCTCCGGCAGTTCGGGGTGCAGGAGAGAATCGCAGGAGTCTGACGCTGGTGTGAGAGGGCGAGGTTTGAAGGCATTGGGTTTTGTAGACACCTGACTCCAGAAGCTCATATAGACCAGAGCTTCAGCAGCCTCAAGATCATTGTATTCCAATACACTGCACGAAGAGTGCTCATTGTGCTTTTTCCTGTCCAGGAAATCCTCACAGACATCCATCCGAGCTCCCTGAGAAGAGCCACAAGAAGACAACAAAACTAATGTAACATATAGCTTTACAGGTGAAAGTAAGCCCTCTGGTTGTTTTGACACATACAGCTCAGCTGCTGGGTGGATCTGAATGAGTCTGGCTCTGTCTTTATCTATTCATGGATCCAGAAGCAGTATGACAGTTTAACAGAGAAGCCCTTTTTAACCTCCCATCACTAGACCGAAGTCCTCCCACTGCCAAATAAAGCCAAAACAATGACGTGCTCACAAGCCGGCTTTGAGCAAATCTCGAAACCCCCTAACAGACATGGCTCGACGGTGCCAGAGGCCAGAAAACCTTGACTGACAGCAAGCCCCTCCCAGTCGCTGCTCCTCAGAAAAATAATACCATTAGCCAGCAGCATCCATGTGTTTTTTTTACAGCATGGTTAACAAGGTGACTTGACTTCTGTTCAGCATGCATAGTAAGCAGTATGGTCATCTCAGCCTCAATGCTTTACATAATACAATACACTGGTGGGATATCCAGTGGGATCCAAAAGACAACTTCTCTTCTGCATTTTTCTCATTTTAAATGAGAATGCCAGATCAATGTGGTCTCAGAGGTTTGGACACCACTGAATACCAAATATTTAATGAATTTTACACTAGAATTCCACTTGCTGATGTCAACATAAATTAACAACAATGGAGACAAAGTAAAATGTATATACACACAGACAAGTATAAAAATATTAAGGCAAGACACTAATAAAAATAAAAAGTTAAACAATGATTACTTGCTAGCAGACATCAACTTGAGGGTTAACAGGAATAACGGTTTGTCTACTACAAAAGAGCGGTGTTGTTTATCATCACAGGGCAAGTCAAGTCGGAGGTGGATACAGATGCATGTGTTCAGAACTTTATACATTTGAGATGCATTGTAACATTTCGTGATGCTGATGAATAGTTACAATGTACGTGAGAGTCGGATCCATTACCAGTTCAACACAATCAGTGAATCATAAGCAGCTCGTTTCAAATATTATAATAAATATTGTATAATTAAATATTCCGATCTTACCCCACATAATTCTTCCATGTTAGAAAACTGACTTGTTGACATCTGCTCAAAACGTATGAAAAATAACTAAATGAAAAG